ATAGAGTTCTCCAAAGAAACAGGTTGTTGATACTTGTACATAGAAACAGTATGCGGTAATCCAACATAATTGGTTAAACACGGGTAATCCTAGCCCTTCAACTCCTTAGAGTGACCAACAATAACATTTTATCCTTACTATGATATTGTTAGATCACAACTTGCAGCACCTCAATATTGTCACAGCCGCTTACTTTTCCAGAGTCAGCTGCCTATAACTTACAAAAAATTTTGAAACCCCTGTACCTATATGTTCAAAGCAGGAAAATTCTAATACATACAATATGACTATTTCCTTTCAACAAGATGAATAATATAACATTTAATTTTCATTTTATCATGATTAACATATATTCATTGTAATATAGCTTTTTAGTTAATTGTGGTTGTACTTCAGATTTTTTGAAGGAAACAAAAATGTTAATACACTTTCTATATTTGGCAGGCATTAATTCTCTCAGCAGAATGATACAGAATATGAAGACTATGTCATAAAAAGGAGTGCTGATAACTTGAAGGGAAAATTTCATTGACCATGACCTTTCATGACCTTTTCATCTTAATGGCTCACGAAAATTAATCCCTCACCACTTTCATGGGGGTAAGGGAAACAACACTAACACTATGAAATTTTAAAATCACATGGAACTGATCTGTATGAGCAATAACCACATGTCTGAAACCTAGCATCAAGAGCTGGGGGCCAGGGACTCCCCTGGCTATTATGGACGTGAAAGAAAAACTGGAAAGAAAATGGAAGAAAAATAGAACCAAAAAGAAATCCCTAGCTGTTTGATTCCCTGCCTACGTGTTGTATTTATCCGCCAACTTGAAATCTTAGTGACATCCCTACCCACATGTTTAGACAACACATAGATATACATGTAGTGTAAAGTAAACTATGGCTATAGTCATGATTGAAAAAAAATGTAAAACATAACCTGTTCAAATAGAATCTCTAGATAGTGAGATAATGTAAAGTAACCTATACCTAGTCATGATTGAAAAAAAATAAAAACATACCCTGTTAGTGGAATCTCTAGATAGTGTTTGTTTTCGGTCCAAATGACAACATCAGCTGAATATTCTCTTTTTCGTAATTTGTTTTAATCATCATACACATCACCACATTGCACATACATGCATGTAAATAAACATCTTCGAATAATTAATACAGTGCATGTATATGAAAAAAAAACTGCTAAATGACTGTTTTTTTCAATGTCGCCGATGCAGCCATCTGAAGTGAAGGTCCACACATCAGCAAGTGCTAGTGCTAGTTGTTTTTGACCTTACTATTGCAACGATGATATTAAGATTACATGTACCAGAAGCATATAACCTTATGCAACTTATACTATGAATTAAAGTTCACATAAACAAACCTACAGGCTGTATTCTAATATTTTATATGTAAGTTCAAGTCTCAAGTCCTTATAAATTAACTGGAAACTTTATTGCTTCTAACCTGTGTAGTAGCCATTGGAAACTTTACTTATTATGCTATTTCTTCTCCTTTTTTATCTAACATTGCTCTTGACAAGTCTGCTATAACCTTGTAGCGCCAGAACATACAGTTTTCAAAGTATTCCATTGACTATTTGCAACAAAGAGTACAGTTATTTCGATCTGCAGTAGACAAAAAGCAGCAAAAAGGGATTTGATCAATGTCATATCTTTGCATGCATCTTTGAACTCTATAAGCTTATTTACGCAAAGTTATTAGAAAACATACCTTTCCACATTAATCCATCTGAGTAAACTCACTTGCAAACATGCTTTATGTGAACACAAACTTCGCAATTGATCACTTTGTCTCGAAAATAAGATGGATAATAGAAAGACAGTCGTACGAAATTTGCTTGTTCAGTCCGCGTGAGTTTGAACTATTCAACGTAAGTTCATTTCACACTTTTCTATTGGTTCAAAAGCCGCACGTGACAAAGTAAATCAAATCGCGCATGTGCCACAGGCACACGTGGAGGCCTGGGAAACAAGAAAACATGGCGGCTAATCTTGCGACGACTTGCTCCCGTTTGGGTCGAGGTAGCAGTCATTTTCAGCGTTAATTAAGATGAACCAACGCATTTGAAGTGTTGAGAGGTAGACTTAACGTTGTTTTTTTAAGTTGGGAAAGAAAATGTTGGACTACATTATCAATCAAAGAACTGCGACGAAAAACGTGTTGTGGCAGTTGTTCATGTTGGACAGAGCTCACAGGCTAGTGTATGGAAATCTGATCTAACCAAAGACACCTTGATCACACCAAGACCACACCATTTTATTGCCTCAAGGGATCATTCATTAGTTGAACGAACTGTACCAAAAGGAAGCTCAAAAAGCATGCAAAGCAAGGAACTGTTCGCATGTTCAAGTGGACTTTCGACCTACGAGGAACGGTCAATCCGAGGAACACATTACAGTAAGAAACAGTTATAAAAATGGAAATGATCCTTGCAGTTAAATGAACATTATCTAAGTGGTTGAACAAGTACCTGAAAAAATTAAAGGCTTGATCGGGAGTCGAATCCTGACCTAGCTATGCGATTGATCGGATGCAATCGTTTAACCATTAAACTTACATGTATCAAGCCAACTGGAGAGAAGGCCATTGTGAGCTAGCGTACCCAATGGTACAGAACAGACTCTATGGCTTTTCCACAGCCACAGCCACAACAACAGCAACAGCAGCCGCAGAATTTCCCGTTCGATCTAGACGCGCAACGTGGCGATCCATACAAGCGAACTATTGTCTTTACCCTTCCCAAGTGGGAGGGATGGAATGTTATTTCGTTGCAGGATCTTTGTCTTCCCCTGGGTACCTTGTTACTCATCGAAAACTGCGATGTCACCAGTGCTGGAGCATGTGGCCATCCTTACATTTTGAGGCACGATGATGGCAGAATGGCAGGTAAGCGTATTACGTACGTGAGTAATGCTAGCGTGCCCAAACCGCCCCGGTTTCCCCAGGGGGCCGAATGGTCACCGCTCGTGCACGGCTTATGTGGTTTGGATGGTTTCGAGCGCAAGACAACCACCGGTGGCATCGAAGCCCTGAACGAAGAACGTTTCTTCGCGAGCGAGTGGTACATGACTTTGTCCGAGTTAGTGCGATCTCAAGATAGCCTGTGAACAGGCCTTTGGTCGAGCGGGGTGGGGAGAGGGAAAAAGGAAAAGGCCTGGAGACAAACATTTGAGACCGCCGTTCCACGGTACCCGCTGTGCATCAGATCCTTATGCAAGCTCCTATTGGCGAGAACACTGACTGTTGACTGGTCTGATTGACATTGGCTTTTCGTTCGGCACGTAGCACGCGATTTGATCACAGAGTGGCAATAACAAAACAGTCCAAAGACTATTAACACGGGGAGGAACTACGCGCTGCGGTCAAAAGACTCAAACTGTCTTTAAAAAAACACTAAGCTGGAGTTTATAGTTACGAAGCACAATAACTATCCGCAGAGGAAAAAACTTATGGGAACAAGCAGCATTTTGGCATAAGGTAAAAGTCGTGTCGGCCTTCCACCCCATTTTATTGCTATAAATACCTGAAGGTGTAATTCCTGTTGGCGATAGAAGCGCTGTTGATATCTTTGTACTTGTCTTCGAAGATTCACGTTCTGGAGAAGTCATGACAGTATCTATACCTTCCGCATTCCAAGTTCGCTCATTTCAGCTGCTTGTTAAATTACAAACCGAAGTAGCAAGACGAACGGCTTATTAATTCTCTTACCGGAGATCAACGACTTTTTGCAAAATCGACAATGAGGTTCGTGCTCCATTTCACTCTGTTTTCAGACGGAGCAAAACACGGCTCATTTCCTGTTAATTTTCCCAGGAGTTACTCACGCGCGAAATTGATTGACCGGACAGATGACCGGCAGGATAATTACAAGAGAGCGGAATAGCGGCCTCAAATGTTTCTCTACAGGCTCTCTCCCCTCCTTTCCCTTCCCTTTCCTCGCTATTTTTCCCCAAACACTGGCAAAGAGCCTGTTCACAGGCTATCTCAAGAGGACAATAAAAGCCTATATAAGGTTCGCTGATGGCAACAGCTTTTCGAGGCACACGTTCCTCCTATTTTTCGCCAGAAAAACACCATAAATTTTACTAGCGTCATGGAATGTCTCAAGAGACGATACCTGGAATGCCCTCTGATTAAGATTCGCTAGGATCACGTTACCATGGATCTGTGTATTCACCTGTCACCATTCATTCGCGAGGAGGAAAAAGATACAGAGGCGCCGCTTCAAGTCCCCGTGACGATGAGTGGGAAGCGCATCTCCTGTGTTTGTTCTCCCTTGCAGGTCTCAGCTAAGTTTGAAAAACTTGACGAGTATCACAAAATCTACCTCCATCCCTCGACAGACGGAATACCATTCGAGGAGATTTTCGGAGATTTCCCATCTCTTTTCATCGAGACATGATTGTCTTCCGGTAACCACCACAGCAATAAAAGTAGCATAGAAAGAGTTGAGTTATCACTGTAAAGATGCAGTGGTCATTGCTCAGCTGTGCCGTTGCTGTCCGCATATCGTGCGCAAATTTCACCGATCCCGGGCTCGTGGAAGCGGACCGAAATGGAGCTCTATTGCATTTCACTCCTGTGTCATCTAGTTCGCATTGGCTGCTTCCTTCGTTCCCCAACAATAGCCATCTAACGGTGGGACCGGGAACAGTGCTTGTCATAAGAGGGGAACATGACAAATCAATTTTCATCACGTTGGTGGATGCCTTGCCACCGCCTGTCGACTTGTCGCACACCTCCACATTGGTTAGATGCGAATTGGGATGCGACGCCCGCTTGGAGGCAGTGGCATTCGATGAGCAATGTCAAATAGTTGCACCACCCGCCTGTGTTCGATTAATTCCAAAATTCAGACGTCTGGTGCTTTGTATTAGAACCGGGGAATTTCTTACCGACTCGTCCATTGGTCCACCCTTTGTGAGCATCGACAATGCAGTCGACGCAGCCCGACTCGTTGACAAAAGAACCTTACATTGTCACCTTCGACTGTTGAACTCCTCAATGAAGCGGCCGTGTTACCTGCAGTAATAGATGATGCGGTAGGCATCATTTCTTCGTCGGGGCTACAAATCGATCCTTCCTCGCAACCACTGGGTTCTGGAACTTTTGGCACCTGCTTCCCGGCTCTCAAGAGGGCCACGCTCAAGTGCGCAGTCAAGGTCTACAGGTATATGGATTACGACCAATTCTACAGGGAGTTAGTAGCCATGTTGAGATGTAATCGTCATAAGAACGCCGGTGTCGTGGAACTTTGGTGGATTTGCATCCCACCATCAGGGACGACGGGTTTGCCTAGACTCGTGATGCCTTTGGTCAAAGGAGTCACTTTGGACGAATGGGTGTCCCGTTACAGCAGGCGTTCAAAGCCAACCACCCTCAGGGTTGTTCTGCAATTGGTAGAGGCCGTTCAACATCTTCACGATACCGTGAATATCGTGCATGGTGACTTGGGATGGAAGAACGTCGTGATTAATGTTGCACGCAACTATCATCTGACTTTGATCGACTTTGGAAACGTCAGAGACTCGGACAAGGGAAAACGACGACTGTGGGAACACGGAAGTTACTTTTTTTCTCCCCCGGAGGCTTTATGCAGACGCCCGTGCCATCAAACCACAGCCGAATTGCACGTTCTCGGCGTCCTCTTGATATGCATCGCTCGCGGCAGTACTCAAGGATTGTGCGAGGCACCTCTAACGTTCGAAGACGGAAGAAACCGAGGTGAGGCTGCATCCGTACTGGAACGATTTTCTTGGGATAACTGGCGATGTGTTAGAGAAGATCTCAGGAATGGCAGGCGCGACTTTATCCGACGATATCGGTGTGATAGGATCACATTTGGCTCATCCAATCCCTGACTCTCTCCAGTCTCTCACAGATGCATTACGTAATTTAACAAACTTGAATACGATTGGTCAATAAAGAATTTATAAGCGATTGAATCTGTATTCTTTTTTTTCATTTTTGCTTTGAACGGCAATAAAGAGGAGCAAGCATAAAAACCGAGATGAAAGTTGTCCGTGGAGCACCTCCATGTTATCGGGACGAGATGGACAAATTGAATGTTCGCAAGAGTGTTCGACGAGATTTAGACAGGGGTTTCTCCGTGGCCATAGATTCTCGTTGGGACGATTCTCTGAACGCGGTCGTCTTTACCGTAGTAACACCTTACGGCGAGAAATCGCAAATTATCTTGACAAATACAGATGTGCCTCGCCGTATCTCCAACATGTGCCCGGTGGTTCAAGACCCGACCCTGATAACTCGCGACCCGTCTACGCCAAGTGAGCTACTGGGGCAGTTTTTTCTCGACCCGACCCAAGTTTCGGAACACGTCAGAAAGAGAGGCATCAAGCCTTACGATTATGTCAACAAAGCCATCCATGATATTGAGTCGTTACCCGGAGGTTACGCCGGTGCTCAATCGAGCGCAGAATGCTTGTCCAAGTTCGACTGCATGCAAAGGACGGCCACTGCCGTCTTCAGTTACGACATCGCCACGCCCAAGTTTGGAACCGACGGTGCCAGCGCGGCCATCATCACTGGAGATGCGGCAGAGGTGTGGAACTTTTTTGGACTGGCCAAGATGCCTTTGCAGGACAGTGTACTAGAGGTATTTTGCAGCGCGATTGGCGTCAAGCCGGATGACTCGTTGGAGAAGCGGATCAACAGCCCCATGAAGCGTACCAGAGAAGTCCCCCTATTTCAAGTGACCGATACGAAAAAGCAAGGATTGGATTTCACCAGCATTACAAGTTTGGCGGTGCTGACGATGAACAGTATACCAAAGCAGCAAGTACGACAACGTGTCCTCTACGTTGTACGTGTTGGTCCCGTAATTAGTTTAAATTGAATTTTTAAAAAAATTATTATCTATATCTTTGTAAAATAATTTCGCAATTCGCTTATTTCTAAGCGCGACGATTTTATTAATAAACCAGACATTATTATTATCGACAAACCACCCTGGAGCGCTTGAAAGAGGAAGGCTTTCAAGATCCGCAAGCGAGCTTGTTGACGCTTCACAATGTCGTGGAATGCATCGTTCCCATTTACTTGAGTTCTGAGGGTTTGGTAGAGTATCGATGGGAAGCTCTGGCATTTCGCGGCAAACACACCATCTCGACTCAAGCATACAGAAAGACGCCCATGGGAGATGTTCCTCTCTACGATCCAGAGTCCACCACCAAACGGTTGTCCATAGAAATGTTGGGAGAAGATGGCAAGGTGAGACTGCACCAATACAAGCACCAACTGGAATACAATCGAAAGAGATACTTTCAGACGTAAGGGACGATGCTCAGCATCACCAATTTAAAGCAATACAAGATCCCCGCGCCCGAGGGTGTAAAGCCCATAAAAGAGCGCACCAACTGGGACAAGTACGGTTACACACTGGTCGGTGCCTTGGCTGCCAACTTTACTCGGGCCCATTATGCCGGTAGACCTCTACTACCTCCGAAGCGCTTGCAGTTTGGCGTCGTTTCAGACACCCGGGAACAGAAAGCGAAGAGCGACAAGCTTAAGTTGGATGCCGAAACAAAGGAAGAAATTGTTCGATTGCACCAAGCCTTGGACTTAAGGAACGCGAACTCACCTCTGAGCTATCAATGGAGTTGAAAATGGCCGATCTCAGATTTGAATTAAACGACATGTACAACCAAGAGAACAAGAGACGAATCGAAGAACTTTAAAAAATGAATGAAAAAATTCTTGAAGACTATTCTGCCCTCGAGAATGCCAAGAACGAGCAAATACGAGACTTCGAGACAAGTTTGGATGCTTGTAGCATGAAATTGAAGAAGTGAAAGAGAGTCAAGCGACTAAAAGTCAGACCAAAAAAGAAACATTTTAACGCTAAAAAGTCTGACATGGTCAAGGTACACCGACAACAGGATGGGCCTGTTCTTTCGTGGTTACCAGAGTATAATGCAGCAGTATTAGCAGTGTAAAAACAAAGATAATCAACCTAAAGGAACATAAAAAAGAGAAAATTGAACGACTTTGCTCCACTTTATTGCATCGCCCTCAGTCTATCTAGTCGAGAACATAACAGTTTGACTCAACGGCCAAGACGAACAATGCCTTAAATAGTTACAATAATATTTTTTGTGAGATCAAAATAAAACATCTGAATAATAACTGAAGAAAAAAAAACGCTACGAACGAAACTCGAATCTCATCATTTTCTTTTTACACCAGGGATTGAAAAATCTAAGGTGTCATTAACTCAAAGAAACAAGATGACCGCTTCCTCGGTCATCTTGGATAAGAGTCTCTTGCGTTACTTCCACAGAGTGGTCGTCGAATCCGGCCGTGTCCAAGTCACTAGGTCTTAACATTCCTAGAATATTGTCTATGCGATCCATCATTTCCCTAGACGGTGCCTCAATGTCGTTGTCTCCTTCGGTCGGCTCGACTTCTTCTAGTTGCTTATGTCGTTTCAGTCTCGCGTATCCAGGTCGGTCTGAAATAAGTGCCGGTATCCTTGCAACTTCAGAGAGAACTTTAGACGTTTCGCGAATCCCCGTGCTGCGAAAAAATCTGTCATAGCAAATGTCATACAAAGAATCCTCGTGGTGCATGAGATGAATCAATCGAAGCGGCCTGAGCAAATGTTTGTGATAGATCTCTTTAACGCGGATCATGTTCTTTCCCCTTTTTTTGCCCTTGCCTACTCTTCGACGTTTTCTCTTCGGGGTGGTCATGACTAAGAAGTCAGCTGTCCCAATTGCCTTAATGCTTTGAATGTGGTCTTGACCTTGTGGAAGAAACGATCAAAGTTTTCGCGCTTGGAAATGCTGATAAACTCCGGCCATTTGTGAAAAGCATCGTATATTTCCTGTTTGCCAGGGCACCTTCAATTGAAGGATTCAACATACTTGACGATCAATTTAGTGTCCTCTGGAGGCCATCTGCGTCGAAGACGAGGTCGGCGAACACCAGGTAGAGACGTCGAAGACAGAACTGATCCTGGTGCCACGGAGACCTCGGTTGTATCAATCGCCATGGTTGACGGATGGGGTGGATCTGGAACAAAATTGTCGGAGGCTTTGACGTTTGTGGCGACACGGGCGTCAGTAGATGTGGGGTGGGTAAAGACACCGGTGGCGATGGCTCTCGAGACGGCGTACTTTCCCTTTCGGTGCTACTGGTTGCAGTGCCACTAGGCATGGTCATAGAATGCATCCTGTTGTCGTCTTGTTGTATCCCTTCTCTAATGCGTTGAGTGGTGGTGTGTGTTCGCGCTCCCAGAGAAGTCAGATCTTCTCTCATGTACCAGATAGCCTTTGCACCTTCCCCTGGGTAGTCTTCCTCTTCGTCGTCATCGTCGTCATCGTCGTCGTCCGATTCTATACGAACGGATGTTGCCGCAGATAGCGGTAGCTTATAAGGCTCGTATGGTAACGACATCTTCATAACATCGTCCAACCTGGTATCGTTTCTGATTTTATGTTTGTTTCTTAGATGGTTTTGCAAGTAGGGCGTGAGAAATGAGCAGCCTTCCACCGGACACCAACGAATCAACAACCGATTGGGTCCTTTCGTTTCCTTCCCCTTGCTGACCATTTGCGCGATAGCGTTCGCTTCTAAGGGATCAACGTCCTCGCGGTGTTTCTTGGCTTTCAAGTGTCGCAGGAGGTCCTCTCCATAATACGTGCAGTCGGAAATTGGACAGTGAAGAAACCTGTGGTGTTCTTGTTTACTAATTTTTGAATGTGCGAGCTGACTAACTGCTCGTTGCGGGTGGTTATAATAACTCGTTCTTCCCCGTTTTATCTAGTGGTAAAATCTACGTCACCTAATACGTGTTAAGGTGCTATTGATTCTCCCCACATGTCCTTGACATACCAAAATTAAGACGCGATGGCTCAACGCAATAAATGGCGCGATTGACGTCGCTACCTACGTAAATCTGTTACGTAAAAGAATGTCCCGATAAAAATCCTACCAACAGCCTTCGTCCGCAAATCATGGCGTATGCTGACTCGCGAATAATTCTATTCAATTCAAAGAGGCTTTTCCATCATAACAGTAAATTCATTAACAGCATGTACTGTATAGAATACCTTATTCGATCCTGCGAAGAAAATGTCGTCGCCGATTCCCGATGTTCCTTCTATTCTTTACTGTGGCATCCCGGACGGAAACGAGGACACCAAGACAACACTTCTCCAATCTGGGTCTTTACAAGCGGGCTTGACGCGGTTGGTGGATGCCAGTGGAACTCTTTGGACTGTCAATCACGAAGACCACGTTGCTCACCGCGAGGTTTACGTCATCCAATTGCAGTGCATGTGGCCCAACGGAAAAGAGCAATCTTGGATCCCAAGCAAGGCACGACGAGTCTACGCAGCGACGGTTACGACGTTGCAATTGAGAACAAGCTTCGAGGGGGTTACCGCTTTGTGATACTCAACCCGTTTAAAGCAGTGTATCGGATTTCGTTTTTATCGCCAAAATCTTCCTTGCCAGTCATTGTTGCCTCGAGTTCAGACACGGATACTTCTTTGTATCGAAGGCGAGCAAAAAACGATCTACGAGAACCTCAAGACGACGTGGATGCTCTTTTGTTAAAGCTCAATCCTTCTCGTAACCCTATAGACGAGCTGTCGAAAAGGTCGCATTTAGTTAGCGACGGGATCAAGTCTGGGCCAAGAATCAGCTCGTTGCCATCCTCAGACGAGTGTGGAGAGATATCTATCTGGACAGGAGTACTGCTGGAAATTCGTTCCGCTTAAGGAAAGAATCGGTTCGTGATATCAGCCTATAAGTGCTTTATTGGTCTTTTGGTAGGAAAGCACCCAGAGCCGAGAGTGGACTCAAGGCCATACACATTGCTTCCGAGTTGAATCAAGATGACAAGACAGGCGCAGTTGATCCCACAACTTTAAAACAGACTGCAGACAGTTTATCGAGCCTCTTGGAACAGATGCGACTGGGAAATGGTGTATGATAATTAAAAAAAAAACAAACATGATGTCCATTGTGCATTAAAAGCTTTATTGTCTTATCATGAGCTAATNCAGGAGTACTGCTGGAAATTCGTTCCGCTTAAGGAAAGAATCGGTTCGTGATATCAGCCTATAAGTGCTTTATTGGTCTTTTGGTAGGAAAGCACCCAGAGCCGAGAGTGGACTCAAGGCCATACACATTGCTTCCGAGTTGAATCAAGATGACAAGACAGGCGCAGTTGATCCCACAACTTTAAAACAGACTGCAGACAGTTTATCGAGCCTCTTGGAACAGATGCGACTGGGAAATGGTGTATGATAATTAAAAAAAAAACAAACATGATGTCCATTGTGCATTAAAAGCTTTATTGTCTTATCATGAGCTAATGCAAAAATTTATTTGCCGTCTTCTCTCGTTCGTTTCACACCTCTACTCCTTAGTCTTGTTTGTCTACCATCCTGTCTTAGAAACTCTTTGAATGTCGATACTGCGGGCCCTAGTCTCAGAGGTAGATATGTGTTCTTGACTCGATCCATCCACTGATCCGTAAGCGCTTCCACTTGGACTTGGACGGCCTTTTCTCGAGCATCGTAACTGCAGCCGTAAATGACAGCGCAACGATCTTCGATATCTTGCAGCTTTCCCGAACTGGCCAAGTATTTTCTTGTTAGGTACCTTGTCTCGTGTTGCGGTGGGAAAGTTGTGGCTATCTCACCTTTGACACCTAGGGTGCTCGGATGGCCCTCACGAGTCATGGCCAGACTGGTCGTGATAAAATGTTGCTCTTCTTTGGGGGGCAGATCAAAGGTGACCGCCTTGCTCCGACCTGAC